AATGAGTGTCACTTTTTAATAGCTAGCTGTAATAACATGCCTTGTTTCTTATTAAAGAAATCATACAAAATATAAAGTTTTTCAGAGAATTCTAAGCATCTTCCCTCAATGTTCTTGGTTAAAATAAATCCATTTTAGGCAGTAGTTTAAAACCTTTATTAACCAACCCAAAGATACTAAGGTCCATGGTGCCCTCTTGTGGCTGACAAGGACAAAACGTTTTCCTGATCAGGGAACAACAGATTGAAAACTGGTTTGGCAAAGCAATTTTGAAGCATCATCAACCCTTACAGAAAAAAACAGGTATCTGAATCCATTACACAGAACAGAGAAGGGCTTAGTTCTAATCAATTTGTTTTGGCCAGTGCATTAACTGAGTTACCTTCCCTACAGTATTTCAAGATTAAGAACACGTGGTTAATCCTGTTTGATACAATTTTTACTGAATACTCAGATTTATTCTTTGACCCATTATTCTTTAAACACATTTGCTCAGTTTTGTGTAATGGCATGGCACCTTTGATTGTAGATCCAACAGAAACCTTATATTAGGCCACATGATCTCTGTGAGGTGTGTCATTACCAAGGATCCTAGTTTTCTGCTGAAAAAAGCAGAAAAATTCATTTAAAAAGCACCAGAATCTGCATTTTCCCACAACTTACTGAAAGCATGGCAGTGTCCCATGGTGAGCAGTGCCATTTCTGCTCCCTTTCATTTTTGCCATGGTTTTTGCCTCTCAGCCAGTCAGTAGCACACCCACCCTTCCTCAGAGTCCTGGAATTTTGATTCTTGGTTCAATGTTTTACTAAATACTTGTTCTTACTTTTTTATACTTAAGGGTAATGTTACTTCTGGTTAAAGGCAAATAAAAAGACTCATGACTTCTGTGATCTATTAAAATTAACACAAGATTTGTCACTTTTATCCTTAAGTAAACAAAAAAAAGAAAGAAAGAAACCTCAAAGACAGCAAGCCAGATATTTATTGGGATCACCTCTGAAGAGATTGCTACTTTTAGACAAGACAAGGGTTTTTGTGATATCTCTTATTGGGACACATGCATGATTGGGGAAGCAGCTGGACAGGGTTTCAGACACAAACTGCTCTTCTTCAGCTTTCAGAGATAAGCCTGAGACTAGATTAGGAATCTACAACATGAAGAGAAAAGAAGCTAGACTAGACAGTGCACACATCTACACAAGACACTTTACTGTGTGTGGTAAAGCGTTGATGTCTACCCATGCACAGCATTTACTGTGCAGTAAATTAGTTTACTGTATGGTTGGCTAGTACCTGTAGATACAAGTAGATTTACCATGCAGTAGCTACTGCACAGCAGCACGCATGTAGATACCTGACCAGGAGGAAATTGCTCACTGTCAGCCCAGACAGCAAGGGAACTGTCTCTGCCCCAGGTAGCTGCCCGCTTCCCAGCCCTTTACCCCAATCAGCAAAGGCTGGCAGGGGACACTGGGGTCATGCTGGAGTTAGTGGGGTGGGGGAGCCATCTTGTCTCCAGGGGCAGATGTCTCCCAGCCCCAAATTGGCAGATAGCTGTCTACATGCAGACGGCTGACTGGGAGCAAATTGCTGGTCAGCCCAGGCAGCAGGAGGTTGGGGAACTGTCCCCTGCCCTAGGGAGCTGCCTGCCTTCTAGCCCCATGCCCCAATCTGGCAATCAGGGCACAGGGCTGGGAAGCAGCTACCCCAGAGGTGGGACAGCTCCCTCTTCCCTCCAGAGCACAGGTCTGACCCTGGTGGGGAGCCTGGAGCTCCCCCTGGCTGCTGTAGGGGGACAGAGCAGGGCTGGAGTAGCCTTGCACTAAACTGCTCCTGACAGCACATGCATAGACCATGCTCCTAGGGAAAGCTTATTGTGCCTTATTTTACTGCACAGTAAGCTGTAAAGCACATTAATATCATGCGTAGATGCACCTAGTGACATCTATTTCCTAAGCTTTTTAGCTTAAATTGTGTCAACTTCTCCGAGACCGGAGGAAGGGCAGTTTGGGACCAAAACAGCATCCAGTTTCTCCCCCAACCATACAGTTGGTCCAATTAAAAAAAAAACAAAACAAAAAACCCCCAAACAACATGACAAAAAAAAACCTCTTGTCTCTTGTATGTTTCCTGGACTACCATGACTATAGTATTTGAACCTCACTAGCTGATTCAGGGTGATGGGGTACACTAGGGTGCTGCTAGATCCTTTGAAGGGTGTCACAAAGTACAAGGAGATAATCAGATAAGCCAGGCTCAGGCCTTTTCCTGCTTGGACAATCCCCTCACTCCTACTGCCCAGCCCCTGGGTAAGAGTACAACTACCTATAAATTTTGAAATACTTAATTCACAAGAGTTATGGAGGGCTGCCTTGAGCACAGAGTGCCTCTATTCCAAAAAGAAGAGAGCCACTGTTGTAGAAGTGTCTAATACTATAGCTTCTACTAAACAGTAGACACACACACACACACACACACACACACACACACACAGTCTTTGAACCTGTATATTCTACAAAACCTGTAGCCATAGCAACTCCGGCTAGGACTTCAGATTAACCCTTCAAGATCCAGTCCCTGCAGGCAAGGGTATGTCTCCTCAGCAAAATGTACAAATCACATTTTGCTTATCTATGCTTAAGCCTGTACCAAAATAGGTTAGGAATACTACCCAAGGTCTCAGGAGGGCTTGAACTTTTTGCACCTGGTCTAAAGGCACAGTTATTACCTGTGTCAACTATGTGAAGGCTATCATAAATTGGTGTGCCTAGCTGTGCTACAGTCATACTTTCATTTTACTGGAAACAAGTGCTTAGAGGCCTATATAGTGCACTCTGACTTACCAGAAGTGTATCACAGCATCCTTTGCCAAAAGGAGCACCCATAATTGTGTCCTAGTTTAAACTAGCATCTTGGCCTAGAAATGCCCTGTAGCCTCTTCTAGAGAACTTATTCAGTTTGTCCTGAACAATGTAATGTTACTGTGTTCTGTTAGCAAAGTAAATCTGCCCCCACTCAGAAAAAGACACTGGAGAAGTCTGTGCAAGAGGAAACAGCCAATACTACAAAAAGGATGTCAAAGGGTGTGCCTGATGCTCTCACTAGGTAATACTCAAATATATTCATATTTGAAGAGTAAGAGACAGTGACCTATTTTTGTAATCTACTCAAGTGACAGATTCAAAGCAAAAAACAAAATTTCTCTGTGTGTGTGTGTGTGTGTGTGTGTGTGTGTGTGTCGGGGGAGTGTAGGGGAGGTGGAGTGGTCTATAATATATTTAGGAGCTCAGAACTAAAAAAGAATTCTTAGCAGGTTAACACACAAAAGAGGAAGATAACCAAGCAAGTTGCTATTAGCAACTTACCAAGTATAGGTTTATGTGAAGAAAATACAAGGAAAAGAAATACTAGTGGTAGATAATATAATTAGTGGAACTATTTTAAGTGTGATGGATATACCAGGGCAAACGATCAAATTAACACTTACTTATATAAATCAAGAATTGACCCAAGTAGTTCTTCCCTACAGAATTCCATCACCTGTAGGCCTGGGGGTGGGGTTTTGTGAATGATGTGTTCTACCCCCAAGTCACCATCTGATGTCCTACTTCACAGCAGAATGGCAGCAGTGTGCAGAAGGAATAAGTATGATAAAGTAAAGTAAGAAGGCAACAGATTAAGTAGAGGCCAGGCTTTGAAAGATAAGTCATGTTTGCCAAGCTAAATGGAGAAACTGATCTGGCAGCAGGCAGACAGCAGAATGACAGAAAAAATGGGATGGAAACCCCAGCAATCCCTGAACTGTGTAATAAAATAAAAACAGACACCATTTATCATAAAAAAAATAGATTTTAATCAATGCCCAGCACCACTGGTTAATCTTAAAAATCAGAATGATTTACAATGAATCACAAAAAAATATATGCAAGTTCCCACTTGAGAAACATTGCAATTAATCTGTATAGCATAAAAATATCACTTGAGAGCTCTTCATTTTTTTTAAAAACCACCAAAACAAAGATCTTTTCATATATTTTCATAAATTAATTTATGGGAAAAGTGCCAGCTTATCTTACAAAGGAGGAAAAAGTTTTCGCATATAACAGATTGATTACATACAAAAAAAGAAAACAAAACACAAAACAAAACAAAACACACACCATGATTTCTGGGCCTGCCATTAATTAAAGGAGTCCCCATTCCCATGTCCCTTGCTCTAACCTAGGCCCTAGATCAGCGATTCTCAGTTAAGATCCTGTAGCACCCTGGAGTGCCTTGAGATCCTTTCAAAGTGTGTCATACAATGTTAGCGCTGTGTAAACATGATTCACAGGGTAAATCAGGAGATTTCAAATAGGAATCAGTAATGTTAAAGACATCATGCCCTGTCGTGGTCTTTGAGTTCTTTGCAACAGAAGAATCACTCCATTATTTTCACTTATTTTTGGCTACAGAAAAACTTAAGAGCTGGCATTTTGTGAGGAGTTCCCCACATCTATCCAGGGGTGCATCAAGCCCAAGAAGACTGAGAAGCACTGCCCTAGATAGTTATCTTCATGCTGAGCTCAACTTATTCTAACATTACCCCTTCTTGCAGCTTCTTGTGAAAACAGACAGAATAAAAATGTTTAATTTCATATATTGATTGTATTTGTCACTAGGATATTTTAAAAGTACAAAGAGGGAAGTGTTCTTAGTAATGTAAGCTGACTTCATATTGATAAGATATCACATTTCATAAAATGTTCTTCTACTTTTGGGCTGCTCAACAAGTAGTATCTTATATCCTCCAAACAAACCCCTCATAAAATGAGTTCTATTATTGGGGGAAGGGACAAGGAAGTTATGCCAACAGCTGCTTTATAAGGCAAGTGGATTTCCTTCATAATTCAGATTCTAGTATTAAACAGTGTTTGTTAAAGTGGTTACACTAAATCCAGAAGCCAAACACGGTAGGGGAAACAGAGTGAATAAATGACTTCTGAGTAGAAGCTGAGAAAAAGTGAGAACTGATTAATTTTATTCAGGAAAAATAAAACCACAATCCCAAGAGTTATATATAAAAAGACACTTTCCTAACCATAGCTTGAATCTGAAGAACAAGGACACAAACATCCCCCAACTAAATGCTGTGCTAGAAACTTACCAGGAACCAGAGGGTCATGTCTGGTTTGCATAAAGACAGTCATATTACAGCAATGAGTGTCATATAGGTAGCAGAACAGATTACAATTGCACTGATCAATGTTCAAGGTTTTCCGAGAGCGCAGGTTCCCATCTGGTCATACTCTAGCTTGGTGGAAGCGGCACTCTACACCTTATATATGAAAGTAACTCTGTAGAATTCAGCTGGCTAGTTTACTCTGCCTCAAAAGGCAAAACAAAGCTAATTTTGGTTAAAATATTTTTAAATATACTACAAACACATGAAATTTAAAGTAAGGCACATGTAGAGCTAAGCCAATACATTAGTTTCAGATAAGCCTGCACAGTCTGCTTGCAGATTGCACACAGGCAAATTGTTATATGTAACAAATAAACCAAACTACTTAGAACTGTGGATTGAGCTTGTAGAATCTGGGGAATATTAGACACACAAATAACCAGCCCAGCTTGAATAAACATCTCTTCTGCAATAGAACATATGGTTTGAAGATTCATTTTTCATGAATACCTGCCAGTAAGTCTCAGTAACAAGATCACAAGAAACGGGGATATACCCAAAGTAAGCCAATTAAAAAAAGTAGAAGGAATCCGATTTTTCATTATTGGCTCAGTGGGAAATAGTTTCAAATAGAAAGCACAGGAAAGGCCCAAACAGTTCGTTTTTATGATCATCCACAGTATTCTTCTACCTACAAGGGTAAAAATAATAATTAAATTGAATATACTTTAAGATTAAAAGGTATTCTAAAGTATCTGGAATGTCATTCTGAAGCCTTACGTATCCCAGGCCTATGCAGCAGATTGTCTGGACATCCTGGCATTCGTAAATGCCATATACAACTCAGAAGTTCTCTTGAAAACTCCACTTCAGGACAGTCCAATGCAGATCACAAGTGATACAGCAAAAAGATTAAAAAATAAAAAATTCACATCTCCCAAATGCAACCAAGTATCCTCATAATTCTTATCTATTGGACTAAGATACTTTCCACCCTGTATTTAATCCAAGTGCAGTAAACTGCTTCAGTGTTCATTCGAAAGGAATCTTCCTACATTAAATTCTTTTTAAGTTGGAGGTACTAATAAGACACCTGCATTTGTATAACTGCAATTACTTGTTCATTCTTATAGAAGAGAACCTAAAATGTTTCTGTATTGCAACATACAGTAAACTTCACTGGTTAAAAGTTACAAATAGATGCAATTCATGCTCAATTACTTTTCAAGATATATGAAAGTGATGGCTAGGAGAAAGGAACAATAACAATTGGGAAAGCTTGTTTGTCAGGGACTGATCAAAGTACAATTGTTATGACAACTTTACAGAAGGGACCAATAAATAAATCAATCAAGTAAACTAGTTTAGGAAAGACATTAACAAGCATTAAAAAAAAGTTAAGAGGACAGTGCATGTGCACTATATGTATGGGAACCTTTGAAACCCTTATAGGAACAGTATATTATTAACAACAGCAACAACTTAGTATTATAAGCCCTAGAGGTCATTGGCTGCCTCCACTACCTTTGTCCGTTCTCATCTGTGTGCCTTTGTTCTCCAGTTGCCCACAGTTAATTTCCATGTCTGATATTATATCATCGAAACATCTTTGCCTTGGTCATCCGGGCAGCCTTCTCCCCTCCAGTACCCCAAGGAACATTTTCTTTGGTGTCTCAATTGCTTCCATTCCTTCAGTTTGGCCCAGGCATTGTAATTGTTGTGCTAATTTTCTGTGTCAGGGTTCCGTCTGTACAATTGATATTACTCGTTACTGGTTCTTGTACCATTCCTATGTTATGGGTTCTCACTGCACAAAGATTTTCCTTAAAATTTCTCTCTTAAAACAATGTAGTAGTATCCCACTTCCTTGTGGGAGAACCTAGGCTCAACTGCCACAGGTTCTATATGGCCTAATTAGGATTTTTATAGACTTGAAGCTTAGTTTTCCTTGGGATGAGCTTGGATGACTGGAGCTTGTGTAATGCAAAGTGGGCTCTAATTCCTGCTTCCATTCTTCCTAGTTTCTTCCTTTGCGTTACATCCTGTGCTATGATGGGGCCTAAATACATGAAGCGAGTCACTTGCTTAAAATTTGTAGTGTTTATTGTTACATCAGGTTCCTGATTTATTGGGGTTCTGTTTATCAGCAGATAGTGTTTTATCCACATTCACTTGTGGTCCAACCTTCTTTGCTTTAGTTGTTAGTCAAGTATAGACTTTGTATCATTCATATTTGCACTCATGAAAAATAAAATCAGCAGCATGTCAGGACTTTATGATCTCCATTCAGTTGAACTCCCCTCATGTTATTTATGCTCCAGATCATTTATTCCAGTGCCAGGTTGAATAGGATCAGAGGCAGACCACCCTCCTGACTCCATCCAGTTCTCATTGGGAAGGGGTCCAGATTTCTTCCACAAGTGCTAATTCTGCATACAAAATTTAAAGAGTTCAATTTGACTTTTCTGGGAATGCCCAATTCAGCTACTAAAGCCCCCAGACTGTGTGTGGTATCGCAGGCTTTCTGGAATATATGAACAGAATGTGTACATTTTTAATATATTCCCATTTTTTCCCCCTCGACTACCTTAGTGAGAAGATTTGGTCTATCATCAGTCTATTCTTGTGGAATTCACACTGGTAGTCTCCCAGTTTTTTCTTCATCAGGTAATAAGTGGTGGAGCAACACGTTAGACAATACTTTATTGGTAGTTGTTAATTTAGCAGTATCTCTTTAATTTTCACACTCCAGTTTGCTGCCTTTTTTGAAGACAGGATATATTAAGACTTCTCTCCAATCATCAGGTAGAATTGATGACTTCCCAATAGGAAGAATTAACATGTGTATGAATTTATTTATACAAGCTTATAGGAACACTTATCTCCAATTATGACAAAAAAAATTATACAACAAACTTCAGTACTTACTAGGGTTTGACACTGTAATAATCCTCTGGGGTCACAATTTTCAAGCCACCAAAGTAGTCCAGGACCCAGATATTGGTAATGTTGAATTTGGCAAAGAACCAGTTATGATCTCGAGGCCAGCTTTCCATCTCAGGGTGTCGAGTGAATAATGCTTGTTTTGCTAAACCCGATTCTGTCTCACTCACCTAAACAGAAACCAGCAACATATTACAAATGATCACTTCTTCAGTAAGAGAGAAACTTCGCTCAAAAACAACTCTACTGCAGTGTGCTTTTTCCAGCTGCAGCCACAAGCTGGCCCTTTGTTACATTTATTATTATAGAGGACTCGTGATATAGCCTGTTCACACCTAGCAGCTGGGTTTGATTTTTGGCAGCTACCAATGCTCTCATTAGACATAACTATTCTGTGATGTCTACATCTGGTAATTATTCCTCCAAAATACTATATCCACCAACCTAAGAGAGGGAAGAGCCATTCTGATGACAGATTCAACTATTGGTTTTGAATATGAAGACAGGCTCCAGCCTGAACACATGCACACACATACGCCACCTTTGGAAAATTATAGATGAAGCTTTGAGACAGAAGACTAGATGATGACAAATAAGGAGAAGCAGGTATTGCTTTAGAAAAGTCCAAGAGGTGGTGCTCAACTCAATTTTATTTTTCAAATAATTAAATGTTTAGGTCTTGATAAAAAACAAACAAAAAAACCCAACAACTTTTAAGAAGCATGAGGATAGGAAGCAAATAAGCTGGCATTACAGACATACAAATATGCTTCCATGCAAGTTAAAAGAAGGCTAATTCCTGTAAAGCCCAGAGGCTTTAAAAGTCATTCTGTCAAAAGGTGCCAGATGCACTTTCTGATGATATGACAACCAACAGCAGTAGCTACTCATTCAGACAAATTAAAGCCTGATGGTAATGTTTTTGCTGATAAATTCTGTAGCAGTTCAGTAATTTGACGTAGTAGTACAAGTTTATAATGAATCTTGGGGGGACTGCAGCTCTGTGAAGAATGTTAGCACTTGAACTATAGAAAAACCAAATTAAAAAAAAAAAAAAAAAAGGGTGGGGGGACTAAATTACAGCATGCAACACTGGGAAACTTATTAAGCAGAATATGATGAATGCAGATTTAAAGCCACAGGGTGCCTGTACGCATATAGGGAGGATGCTCTCACACGCTGTAACTACAGCGTATCAGAGCAGGCTCGATTAATTGAGTCTGCTGAAGCATGCCAATTAATGCACTCCAGCAGGCCTCCACATCTTGTGCATCAGCATCCCCATGCTTCAAAATGACAGCAGAAGCACTTTAGTTAAAAGTGCATTGAATGAGCTTTAGTTAAGTGTTCCTGTCACCATTTTGAAGCATGGGGACACTGATGCACAAGACACTGTGGGAGCTTTAATTAAAGCAGCTCTTGGAGCCACTCTAATTAAAAAGACTTCCCCGTTCCTCTCCCCTGAGCACATGTAACAACACCCACGGTGTACAGGAAGTTATTTTAGATGCAATTGCATCTCCTGGGCATGCGACTTCTAGACAGATATTGAAAAACTGGGGAAAGCTCAAATAAAAAGCAAAGAGACTGGGAAAGAGGAAAACAAAGAATGACTGAGTTAAGCATGGTACAAAAATTAAGAGGTTCAGAGAATGTATCAAATAATACTTGATGAGTTAACATACCATGTAAGCATAATTTAGAATACTGTCTAAGCAGAAATCATCATAATTGATAATAGAATTTAATTAAGGGGAAGATTTAAGCTGAACTAGTACAATGACAAAAGCTTCCACAATCGATAACGTATTAAGTCTTTTGCATTTTGAGCAGCTATGTTGTCAGCTAAATAAAGTTGAAAAGGTGCACAGCAGGCCTGGGGTAACATAGCCAGACTCGCTTCCTAACAGTGGCAGGAGCAGCAGCTCCTTCCAGCTACTACCACCACCAAACAAGGCCATCTTGCCCGGGCATTTCGACCTGTCTGCCCTGTACCCACCACCAGGAGCAGGACCTGTACAGGCAGGACACAGCCAGGTGACTGGAATGGAGCCATGGGCAGGGAGGGGAGCAGTGTTCAGGAGCAGGACAGGCAGGTAAGACTGGAATCACAGGCCAGTGACAGCACAGGGCCAGAGCCAAGCCATGATCCGCTGCCCACACGGACCCGCAGTAGGTGCGGGTTTCACGAGCAGGGGCACGTGGAAAGCAGATTACAGCTCTGCCCCAGGCTCCAACCCCGCACGGTCACTCCCCCAATATCCTAGACCTGGCCCTGGACATAGCTCCCTGGCTGCCTGTGGCCCCACCCCATCCAACCTGGCCACACACCCTGCTGCATGGGTCCTGGCCAGTCTCCATGGAGACCCTGGGATCACAGTGACAGCACAGGGCTGAGGCTGAGACATGATCTGCTACCTGAACACCCCTGCCCACAGAACTAAAGCCTTTGCAGAGCTTTTGGGCGGGGGCGTGCGCACGGCGCTACTGACCCAACCTGCAACAGCTCACCAAAACCTCTCTCAGAGAAGCTGGACCACCGGAAACTCACTCTCTTGAAACTTGTGTTCAATGATCTGCTTGCCTCCAGAGGGAATCTCCGCCTGCTTCTGGATGATGCTTGTGAGTAAGCTACCTGAGATCTAACTAGATATATAGCTTGCAGTAACTCAGATGCATAATCAAAGACTACCAAGCCACTGTTTGCTCCAAGGTATTCCTCTGATATTGCTCTACCCTGTCCTATTCCAAACCTACTCCTTATAACCAATAAAAGTTCTCCTCTGTACCTAGTGTGGGAGACTTATTGGGAGAGGGTCTAGATTATGCCTTGGGGTCCCTTTGGTTCGTCTAAGGGAGACCACTATTTGTGCTTCAGGCTGAGGGAAGCACCCCGAGTTCTTGCAGTGGGTCAAGTACCCCTCAAGGACTATTAGACCTGTGTTACCCAGGGGGCACAGGGCCAAGTTCAGTCCAGACCGTGGGTGGTGGTGGCATTACTCCTAGGCTTACAGATGTGCTCCAGGAAGTGGGTCAGCCAGACAAAGTGCCCCCAGGTAGGCACTCTGAGCCTGGAAGGTGGTCAGGCTCAGCGAGACGGGTGGCTCAGCACAGGAGTACCCACTACTGGTCCGCAAGCCCAAATAATTGCCCACCCCTGGCCTCGCAGGGCTCAGTATGAACCTTTAAATTAGCCTGAATCTTTTTTGACTAGCAAGTAACATGATACTTCTGGACAGAAGTTTATACATCTCTTTACTAAAAGACCACTAACTTTGTGAATAGCTAATTTACAGCCACCGACCTTTACAACAGTCCCAGCGAAGATTATGTGGGCACACAAGGGATTCTGTGGATCATACTTGTTTTTCTTGCAGTAAGGAGTCTGTGCTAAAGACACTGTTAGGGAGGCATTAGCATTCACCTGAAACATAAGTAGTAAGTTTAATTACAAAGATATCCCAATACAAATATATATAAATAAGTTTGCATACCTTTGAAAATAACAAGGTATTTTTCAAATTAAACTCAATGCAGTATTCAGAATTAGACGTTATCATCAGCTTTTCCCAGTAATATTATTCATCCAAAGCCACCCTAAACAAAATGACTCTGAATAAATCTGGAAGACTGTATAACTATACCACTGGTAAAACTGATCAGGCACAGTTGCAAATCTCTCACAGACTAGAATGTTTCAATCTGAAATCCCGGACATGCAGAATATTCTATAAAATAAAATAAAAAACGGTGCAATGTACATAGCCAAGTCCATTCTGGTGAAAGGATCAATAGTACAATATGGTTAAGTGATAGTTAGCCAATTCCTTACATATCAGATCAGCAGGTCAATACTACTTTCAAACAAAGTTACTTCCAACAAGAGACAACTATCCTTTGACAGTCAACTCCACTAAAATCTGAAGCAACTTTTAAAAACCCAGCTTGAATCCCAAAGGTGGGGGGGGCAGAGCAAGCTGAAAATAACCTCAACAATTTAAAAAAGGTACCCAACTTTATTCATAGATGCTAGGGTTGGAAGGGACCTCAACAGACCATCGAGTCCGACTCTCTGCCTAGGCAGGAAAGAGCGCTGGGTCAGATGCCCCCGGCCAGATACCGCCTATCCAGCTTTCTCTTGAAGACCCCCAAGGTAGGGGGATCCTAAAGGTATCCAGCCTTCTCTTGAAGACCCCCACCTCCCTTGGGAGCCCATTTCAGATTTTGGCCACCCTTACTGGAGCGGTCCGAGGCTTTCGGGGGTGCGCCGCGGGCTGTGGCCGGGAGCCCACAACGGTAGGGCGGGTACTAGCCCGTCGTGCAAAAGAATTAGGCACGGACTCGTAGCGGTTAATTAAAGATTGTTTTACTTACACCGGTGGTCGCAGTGCAGGCAGGAAAAACATTCTTGAGTTGCAGTTACAGACAAACACAAGTAGAGTTTGCTAGGCTCCACCGAAGACACACGCACGGAGTTTGCTAGGCTCCGCAAAAACAAACACGACAGAGCTCTGAATACCCTTGACGAGTGCACAAAACCGTAGATAGAAGAATTTAACGTCTTAAGAATTTAACGAACGAGACAGGAAGAGGTTGGTGGTTGATCAGGCCGCCGAACTCCTCTGAGACGCACACAAAGTTTCTATTACTCTGCCACGTGCTCAGAGTCCCCACGAGATGGTTGTGGAGTCCTCTACAACTTGGGCGGAAACTGCTCAAACCTCTTATACGACTAGCCACGTGGGAATAATTTAGAAACAGCCAATAGCGGGAAACAAATTTACATACGGGTGGCGGGAACTCCTTTGCACCCGGGTTCTCTCTCTGCAGCTGAGAATTGCACCATGCAAAGAAAGCTCCATGTGGCGGGAAATAATTCTGCAGTGCCAAAGCGCACACACAATCATTGGGTCATGACAATGTCTAACCTAAATCTGCTCTCTGTCAGTTTGTGACCATTGTTCCTTGTTACCCCAAGAGGCGCCCTGGTGAACAGAGCATCTCTGGTTCGTTGCTGAGCCCCCCTAATGAATTTGTAGGTGGCACAAGATCACCTCTCAGCCTTCTCTTGTGGAGGCTGAAGAGATCCAGGTCCCTTAGTCTCCCCTCATGGGGCCTGGCCCGCCAACCCTTAACCATGCGAGTGGCCCTCCTCTGGACCCTCTCAAGATTATCCACATCTTTCTTAAGTACAGCGCCCAAAACTGGATGCAGTACTCCAACTGCAGTTTGACCAGTGACACACAGAGGGGAAGTATCACCTCCTTGGTTCTATTTGTCATGCATCTGCTAATGGATAATAAAGTGCAGTTAGCTTTGCTGATGATTTTGTCTCACTGACAACTCATATTCATCTTGGAGTCCACTATGACTCGGAGATCCCTTTCTGGTTCCGTGCTGCTGAGAGGGTCATTCCCCAGCCAATAGGTGTGCTGGATATTTTTATGGCCTAGGTGCAGCACTCTGCATTTGCCCTTGATGAACTGCATCCTATTGTGTTCTGCCCACTTTTCCAACCTGTCCAGGTCCTCCTGCAATCATTCCCTACCCTCCGGTGTATTCACTTCACCCTACAATTTAGTATCCTCCGCAAACTTGGACAGAGTACATTTCACCCCCACATCCAAATCACTGATGAAGACACTGAAGAATACAGGTCCAAGGACTGAGCCCTGGGGGAATCCACTGCCCACATCCTTCCAGGTCAATACTGACCCATCCACCACCACTCTCTACTAGATGTAAGAAATTGTACCAAGCTTAAAACAGCATAAAAATGTCTGCCTCCCAAAAAGTTATAAAAACCTTGACTAGAGATTATTTTAACCATGAAAGGTCATATTTAGTGGCTGTCAACATGTGTAAGGAAATCTTGTTATTTAGTGAAAGTAAATTCAAGAAAGTTACATAAAAGTTTCTACAGCAGAAATCCAGGTCAGGACACCTATTTTTTTTTTGCCAAAATGTGGTATTTAGGGTTAGTATCTTTAAGGACATTTTAGTGTCAATTTGAGAGCCTGACTAAATTAATTACACCAAAGTCTTCAATATACTGCATCCGAAACTGGTTTGGTGTAAAAACTGCACTAGTACAAGCCCTGCTTTACGCTGGCTTTATCTATACCAGTGCAAAAGCCCCTAGGCCTGAAGAGTAAGTACATCAAGAAGGGAAACAATTCAATAGGTTTATGACAGGTGAAGCGAGAATTAAGATGTTTATCTGAGGACTAATTACATATTTAAATTAGGTCTCAAAATGAACGTAGCTCTGTAATTTTTTTTTTTTTTTACATCTAACCCAGTCAAAAAGATCTCATTTGTGCGAACTTTGTCTAGGTCTGAGCAAGTTTCCATTTTTCTTAATACAGTCGAGATGCTAATTTCTGACCACAACTTTATACAAGCTCACCTCTCCCTTTCCCTCACACAGCCAAGATTTCAACATGCATTTGGGAAGTTCCATTAAATAGCTCAGCAAAAGAGTGAACTGTGCACTCTGCAATATCCCATTGCATTTATGAAATTACACAGCTCTCACAAGATAGTGCAGATTCTGAAGTTGCTTGTCAGTTACAAAAAAAGCTGAATCATGGTTATTTGGTGTTATCTGCTGGCAGAAGTCTCCATGTGATAGTAAACCAAAAAACTGCAAAATAAGAATATAGATAAGAAAATACAGCATCTGCTGCAAAGTTTTCTGAAGGAAGGTTTATTAGACCAGCATAAATCTAATTTAATGTCAATTTGGGGAGGGAGGGGTCATAAAATACAATGCTATCTTGCAAGTTGTTTGTCTGTTGTTGTAAACTGCACTGCTCTTTGGATAAGGCAGGATACAAATAATAGTAATAAATAAATAAAATCCCATAAACTGAACTATTCCACCATAACATACAATAACAAGAGTGGGTTCAAGATGCAAAGCATGATGTGTGCTAGACATAAAATTCAAGAGGCAAATTGGCATTCATTGAATAGGAAACACAAGAACATGGGGAGAACCGTAATGCAGGTCCATTTTTTCAAAAAGGAAAACTAAAATGAGGAAAAGAAAGCCACTGAATATATCATCACTAAGGGTTCCTCACTCTTGTATCTCAGGCTTCTAATGGAGTTGGAACAGGCTTCTACCACTATTAAGATTTTTAATTGAGGAAACAACAGTGACTAGCACACAAAGCTTCTCTAATTGCTTCTTCCATTAGATGATGTAACTAACTGTAATTATCTTCTCAAACACCCTAGAACAGAGACTTAAGGAAAGGTGCAATCAATACTGTAGCTAAGGCAAGGCAAATTGGGTGCAAAATAAGGGGGATGGGGTGCAACAACAAAAACAACAGTACCTGCTGATGTACCCACACAATTGTGCTGGCAGCATGACAGCAGCCAGAAGTCTTCCACTGCTTTTATGCATCACAGATGCTCTGGGCACCTGGCTGACTTGATAGGTCTCTAACCTAACAAGTTGGTGGTACCTGCAATTTGGTCTATGTCTCTCCCAATTGTGCAGTTCATCCAATAAAAAGGTATCACCCACAAAAATCTCTGGCACTTGCATTTTTTCCTGAACTATCACTGCTATTTCACCCCAAGGTTTCTAGATCATTCTAGTAAGTTTCTTCTTGACTACAGCCATGAGTGACTGGTGCCTCCTGAATCTGGGGGGGCACCCGCACAAGCCACCAACCTTGTCAGGGGGGGCACCAGCCCTACCAACAGCATCAGTGTCAACTGTCGGGGGTGGGGCACCAGCCCCATGGGGGGGGCACATGCACCCTCTACCAGTTGCCTATGACTACAGCCAAAAAAAAGGAGCTAGACAGGAGAGGACTATGGACACTGGTTTGTTACTTGCACTCTGACTTTCAGCGTACCCAAGACTTCTCCAGCATCTTTTGTTGCTGGCTTGCCTTATTGATCAAGTCTATAGAATTTAGAGTTATTAATACTCAACAACAGCCCCAGCTTTCGGCTTGCTGGTCCTTTCATGGCTCATTTGATGCCAAGCCTTCCCTCTCTGATCTCTTCGGAAGTTCAGCAATCCACCATTTCTTTGTTCAGAGTCCCCTTTTGGTCCTTCAACACTTACTTACTGGAGTGTTTTTAGTATTTGCTCCTTGACTTCTGAGGAGAGGACAGAATCTTAGTGGCTTCAAAAGACAGTCATTTTGGTGAACATGGCACAGTCGGTTTACAGAATTTGGGGGAGGAGGAGCTTTAATGAATCCTCTGAATCCAATCCCACAAGATTCAGATAGTGTACTTGAGCACATTTACAGCCCTAGTCAAATCTGTATTTGTTGCCTGGATTGCCCCAACAGAAAATGTACCACCGTTGCATGGTTCAGAAAACTGTACTAAAATCAAACGTATCTGAGTACTTTCTGAACCAAGATCTGTAACAGGGCCCTAAAACTCTCAGGATACTGAAGCAGAGAGTAATATTTCTGTGTGCTGGTCACCACAGTTAATAGCCCTCTGTGGAGCCACTAACAACATGCTGATCAAAGACTTGTCCTTCTGCATTATTCGGTCACCTTTAAAAAACATGCTTGGCAGCTTTAATATGTCCAGGTACTGCACTGCACAAAAGGCAATTTTAGCCAGCATTCAGATCTGTAGTTGTGGAGAGTGTTCCCATTGCTGTCAGGCTTTCTTCAGGAGTTACAGGGTGTGGAAAAATGACTCCAAGCCAGAGTGCCATAGGACCCTGGGGTGCTGCGAGGTTCTTTTGAAGGTGCTGCTCAGCATTAGCACCTACACTGACTCATGAGACAGACTAGGTTCCCAACCTTTTCAGATTCAATACACCCCTGAAAAAAAATGCCAGCTCTTAGCTTTCTCTGGGTTTTTTTGACTAGTTCAAAATACTAGAGTAATTATGTTGCAAATTGCTCAGAAAAAAAAAGCATTCTGGTCTGCTGTGGTCTAACACTGAACTGCTTGGAGGAAGCTGCATCAGTAGCTATTGAGCATCTAAAATAGGAGGACAGCTTCTAAATCAAAGCTTCCTAGGCTCTAAATGCTGGAGGCTGCAAGTGAGAAAGGAACAGTGGAAAAAACCCTGGTCGTACCCAGATCACTCCTCCTTCCAGCATCCATTGCCTGCCACCTCCTGACACAGGCCTAGTTGTTACTTTCATGGAATCATGGGCCTTCACCCACCAAGAACTATAAGGTTCCCTTACAAAGGGAGGCCACTGAGAAAGTAACAACTAATCTCTTGAGACAAAAAACGCAATACAGGGATAGGAGCAATGGTTAAAGCTACGGAACAAGTGTGGCAAAGGGGAAACTCCAAACAGAGCACATGGGTCAGTCCCCACTGGCCCTCGTATGAGTCCCAAGGAACCAGGGGATACTGCCTAGTGGAACTCCACCCAGAGACGTGAACCAGCAAGGGACAGGAAGACAGCCCTGTAGTCCCTGTGCAAGGTGGACCTACAACCTGACCCAGTAACCAGTGTTGCCAGGTATTCAATATTTATCGTATTTATACAGTAACTTCAACCCTTATACAATGTACGATCAATAGTAGTAAATGCACCATAATTTTTGGGGCAGCTAACTGATGCAGCATATGCAAAACCCAAGTTACTCTCAGGGAACCTTAACCAACTTTTGGGTTCGCTCTCAGCACTTTCTTAGGACTCCTTGCCTCAAAATAAAGAAATGCATCAACTTTGATGTCCCAGCTCTCACTCACTCACTGGCAACTTACAATCAGCACTATAAAGTGAATTACTGGGGTTTTACATATGCTGCATCAATTAGCTACCTAAAAAATTAATGCACATTTACTTTCATCATACAAGGGTTGAAATTAGTGTACAAATACAATAAATATCCTTTACCTGGCAACACTGGTTACTGGGTCAGGCTCTGGAGCCCAGGGACTACAGGGCTGTCTTCCTGTCCCTTGCCCATTTTTATTTGCATACTTCTTTTCATATTCTTTCAGTGTATGGTAGTTTTTCAGCAAATACGACCGTTTTAAGTTTCCAGTACTGCAATTTCATATTTAAGCCCTGGCAACGCTGCCAATAACTAGCAGTTCTTATGCCTAAATTAACAGGGAGTGTCGGACTCCCCTCCCGAGGGAAGCTCTCCTCACTCCAGTCTGGCAAAGCGGGCACTTCAAGTCGCGCTGCCCAGCCCCCGAAGCAGCACAGCAGGCCACAGCTCTTTGGACGGGGCAGATTCCTACGTGACGTCACCGACCGAACTCGGCCGCTCGTGGTCTGGAGCCCTACGTGACGTCTCCGGGACCGCCTCATGTGTCACACCCGGCGCCCTGCTCCGCGGAGGGGGGCGGCGCTCACCTGCAGGTCGCGCACGGACACCTCGAGGTTGGTGAGGTAGAGGTAGGGCACGCCGCTGCCCTGGCCCGGACCGGCCGGCCCGTCGCTGAGGGAGAAGACGTTGGCGAAGGGCACAGCCCCAACGGCCACATCGCGCGACCCCAACAGTCACCTCTCAATAGTCGCAGCCCCCGAGCTCCGCACTAGTAGCCGCGCGGTGGAGCTGACTGTGAGGCCTCACGTGGTGGCCAATGAGCGTTAACTGGAGGAGAGGCCTAATGGGAGAGTGCCCAGCTCCCAGCCAACCGGCGCCTGCCTGATCCCCGGTTTCCACCAATGAGAGCTGGAGAGGGGCGGAGCCAACCGGCCCCTCGGGGATGTGAGGGCGGGGGGAGGACACTCGGCGTCTGTAAACAAGCAGCTCTTGGAGCGCGCAGGGAAAGGGGGCGGAGCTTACCAAGCGCCACGAATAAAAAAAAAGGCTGCCTGGATTCTCCACCAATAGGAGTTGGCGGGAGGCAGGGCAACATTGTTTGGCCGGGTCACGCGGTGCCTGACGGAGTTGCTATGGGGCAGGGGAGCAGCTGCGGGGCTCTGAAGGGTCTGGGTTGGAGACTGTTCCCTCCCAGTGTTGCAGGTGTATGATAATTATCCTGTTTGTACCATCCTTTCAACCCTTGCACAGTGAACCAGCAATAATAGTACAAGTGTTCAAAATGTACCAGAATAATTTTTGAGGCAGCTGATTCATGCAGCGGAAGCAAAACCCAAGTCACTCTCAGGGAGTTTTTACTGACCTGGGGCTTGCTCTCAGCGCTTCCTTATGTTGGCTTGCCTTGAAATGAAGAAAGGCTTCAACTTTGATGTCCCAGCTCTCACTTGCTCGCTGCAGAATACATAATGAACACATTATAAAGTAAATAAGAAGGTTTACTTCTTTTCCAGTGTATGATAGTTTTTTGACAAATGCAATAATTTTGAGCTTCCAATATGACCATTTCCTGTTAAAGACCTGGCTGTTGCTGCATGTGTCAAGGGTTTATTCTGAGCCTCCCTCAGGGGCACTGGGTATTGGCTGCAGCCAAGACTGGTGACCTTCACTGGGGTGTGCCACTGCTCCTGCTGGGCAGTGCCAGATTTAGGCTTAAACTACTTAAACTACAGCATAGGGCCTCACAATATGAGGGCCCTCTAAATAAGAAAAAAACTGGACATTTTCCCTCTAATATAACAAAAATATACATAAATGGCTCCCCGGTTATTATTCATATTGAGTTCATAAATTTGTGCAGAAATAACAATTCATTTAAAATTTCATTAAAATCCATTTTCATGAATTATTTTTATCGTATGGGGCCTCAAACTGGACATAATTAAGGGCCTCAGCATGTCATAATCTGGCACTGCTGGTGGGACTTACACCCCTGGCTAGATGCTCTTGCCCCTCCACTCAGGGGCAGGCCAATAGCCATATTTGTGGTCAGGAAGGGGTTTTTACCCCAGGGGCAGGTTGGTACAGGCTGGGGCATGGCCCTTGAGCATATATCGATAACACTTCTTAGAAGCAAGAGGTTGGGTGCCGTGGCTCCCTGGCTTTACCTGTGAAGAGGTTAGGGTGTTAGGCCTGTGTTGTGTCAGGGATGATAGTAGCCTGATGTAGAGTCTCGGGTATGGTTTATATAAAAGGGTTCGGGTAGGGCTGATCCTGCCTCAGGCAGTGGGTTGGGCTAGGTGGCCTCTGGAGGTCCCTTCCTGCCCTGATTTTTTGAGTCTGTGACACTACAATAGAAGTGGGACACTGGAAGCAGGGTTTCCCCTGCTTTATGCATAGCAGGTTAGGGGGTTATGCTTGGTTGTGTCAGAGGTGACTATGTATAGTCTTGCTAAGAGAGGTCAGACAGTGGGTTTGTAACAAGCGACCTGTGGAGGTCCCTTCCAGCCCTACTCCTCTCTGATTCTATGACTTTCCAGGAATCCCAGCACACCTCAAGAGTCTTTCTTTGAAGCATCACAGATTCAGACCTCTGGAGGCCATCTCATCCAACCCTCTGTCTGAGGCAGGGTCATCCCTACCCAAATCAGCCCGTACAAATCCAATATCTAAATTCTACATTAGACTACCATCAAACGTGACAGAACACAGACCTAGCATCCTAACCTGCCACAGGTAAAGCAGGGAAACCATGTCAGTCAACATCCTGCTTCTGCGATAGAGAAATAGGGCTGGAAGGGACCTCCAGAGGCCATCTCATCCAACCCCTGCCTGAGGCAGAATCAGCCCTATCCAAACCATTTCGTACAAATCCATCATCTAAACTTTACATAAGACTACCATCAACCCTGACACAGCACAGACCTAATCTCCTAACCTGCCACAGGTCTGAAGTAGTGTAACCACAGCAGCCAGCATCCTGCTTCTACGAAATGTTGTCAATTATATGCTCAAGAGATTCCAGCTAGAAGGCCACATCCCTTGCTACAGAGGATGACAAAACCCCCCACAGGCTGTACCAATCTGGCCATGCATTGAATTCCTTCCTGACCCTAACTATCGTGATTGGTCTGATCCTGAGCAGAAGGGCAAGACCCTCTAGCCATGAACCTCTGGCTTTGGTCCCAGCAGGAGCATTGGCACACCCCAGTCAAAGTCCCCAGCCTGCCAATGTCTCTGAGGGAGGCTTAAAAGCACCCTGACACATGTAGCAGAAAGTGGGGACAGGGGCAGTCAGCAAAACCCATAAGGATGAATGCCCATAGTAGACCATAGGCTTAGCTACCCCTAGATCATCCCTGACCATTTTTTCTGCAGGATTAGTTTCTGTTTCTTTTCCAGGAATTTATTCCCCACCTTATCTCAGCAGTGTCTGCACAGGCCTCGCCATCTGGTTTATGAGACTTCAAGCCCATTCTCCATATGATTTTAATGCCTCCCTCCTTCCCACCACCTGCTGCTCTTAGGTTTTTTTCCTCTTCTAAAAAAAAAAAATTATTTCTGTGTCTGCTAATTATAATGAACAGCAATAGCTAATGTAAGGCCCTCATCCTGCAAAGAGTCAGAGGGCAACAGATCCCCACACTCACCCAGTATCCAACACAATTGAGTAGGCTGCATGCAGGCGTAGAAATCAACCTGCTTGCATAGTGTAATGGTATCAGTAGATTGGAGTCTCCTTGGAAGAAGAGCAGGCTTAACAGTGCTGCAGTCTAACACAGTGGTTCTCAATGTGTTTAGACTCAAAATCCCTCTCAATAGATTTGGGGAACTCCCCAGCTCTTAGTTTTCACTCTTTTTTTTTTACTATTGAAAAATACTAAAGTAAATCTTCCGTTGCAAGAAGCTCAGAAGGCCTACAACAGGGCAGAATGGTTTTAACACTGTGAACTGCTGTTTGAAATCTCTGAGTCTTGCTCTCTAGTACTACAGTCTATCGTTCACGTGGTTGCCTTTATCCTTGTATCTGGTGTTTAACTTGTGAACCACGTTTGGACAATTCACGTGCTAACATTCCAGGCACGTGAAAGGATCTCAAGGCACCCCAAGGTGCCAGGGCACTTCCCCTTGAGTATCAGTGGTCTAGCAGAATGCTTTGCATGACCCCATGTCGTCTCCACGAGGTAACTTAAGCAGTTCTCTTTTTATAGTAACTTCTGCAAAGTCTGAATCAGCTAACTTTTCTATCTTACTGCCCTGGCCTTTGTACAGCTTCAGACTTAGCAGTCATCCTCTTTCATTATTATTCTACTGGATGGCTGGGGGGCAGGGCAGGGGGAGGAAAGAACTCATCAGATCCCAGAAAATCTGTTTCAACCCATTGTAGACTTAAAACTCCATCATCCCTGACTTGACTTAGATTAGCCTTCACAGCACACATTGTGAATACATCAAGGAAGTGAAAGGGAGCTGGAGTTACCCTTTGAGACTGGAACCAGCACAGGAAACTCTGAAGTAAAATTAGCGGGGAATGTTGGAGCTGCCTTCTGAGGGTGGTCCCCTTCCCAAGGGAATCTTTCATCACGCGAGATAATGCTGAGTCCCCGCTCTGCAAACTTCAGATCATGTTACAAGGTCTGTTTCTTTCCACAGGGCTTCCTCTGTGAAAGAAGCTATAGAATGCCCTTCACATCTCTGCTTGTAGAACTGGTGACCCAGATGTTACGGATGACAGCAAAAGATTTTTTTGGGGGGTGAGTTCTTTATGTTCAGTAAGGCAAGGACAGCTTCAGAAAGGTTCTTTGAAAGGGAGGATGAGGGTTTGGGGGTGGGGCAGGTTGTTTGTTTTTTTACTGTCAAGATAGCAAGAGCTTGAAGTCTTGTTTGACTTTTCCTGGAAGACCGGACAGTTTTGCCTTTCAGCTTTAGTCTAGTGGACATAGGCACACAGTGCCAGGAGCCCTAAACAAACTAGCTCAGGTGTGGCAAACAATGTAACTTTAGCATGAAGCCCCACCCAGGTAAGTTGGTCATCGCTATGTTACACCTCAGTGTGCAATATAGACATTCTAGACCAGATTGCCTGTTGGTTAGTAGGTCTGCCAGGCCCTGGCTAGTAAAAGCTGTCTGGGGGAGACTAAGGCTGGTAGAGGTTGTCAGTGCCTTCCTTTGGGAGGGCAGCACAGGTGACTGGTGCCTCCTGAGTCAGGGGGGGCACTTCCCCCCCCCCCCAGTGGCCAGTCAGCATCCGGAGGGGGGTGTCCCCACGGCTGATCATGCTAACCGGGGGCGGGGGGCCCACTCCGACCCAGAAATGCCAGTGGTGCTTCTTCTGGCACCCCCACTTCCTGGCCGGCGCTCTCGGCGGGGGCACCAGTACTCCCGCTTGCCCCCACTGCCCGTTGCCTAAGCGGGGAATGCTGGCTGTCAGGGGATGCGCCAGCACTCAGGGGATGCACGTGCACCCCCATGCACCCCCTACGCATCGCCACTGGAGGGCAGTGTGTTAGATGTTTTTACATTTACCTTGGAATTCCTTCCCCTTTTTGGCCTGCTAGGACATGTAATGGAAGTACTGCAAGACTTATTTGGGTAGGCATCTAGCACGCAAGGTAACATCAGGGTGTTGTTTGTGGAGTTTTTGTTATAGAATTATATAACTAAATGTTTTAGCTGCTTTTCTAAATCATTGTTTTTTTACTTTAAGCTGTCCTGTGCCTTTCCTGGGGAA